GGGTATGCCTACTCCATGTTCGCTCTGTGGTGGTTCAGTACTATGTCCCTTAAGCCACTGTGGTCACTCTAGAACTGTGGTTACTTTAGACCAGGTAATTCTGTCCTGTCCATTGCAGAGCCCTGTCCTCCAGACGTCTGGGACATACTCCCAGTTGGCAGCGTCCCCTGCTCTCATGGATGGGGTTGGGGGAGTGAAATCTCTTCAGCTGCGGCCGGTCTCAGAGTCATAGTCCTCATGCCTCGGCCTTCCAAATACTGGCTGCGGGTCCTCCTGATAATTAGCCTCTTTCCAGACTGGGACCGTCTTACCCTTTGTGTCCTCAGGTCAGGAGGACTAGTTGGAGGGTCTGGTAGTCACAATGGAATGCCGCTTCCTGAAGTGCATGCCAATTCAGTTCATGTTGCATTAGCCAAGGCAAGTACTGTGGGCATGGCTGAGCAAGATGGGCATGAGGGATAGGCCGTTGTGGCACTTAGGCATCCAAGAGAGAGGGCTACTGCTGTGGCCGGTCACCATCCTGAACCTAGAGCTGTTCCTCTCCAGAGGAGGGGCCATCCTTCCTCTCTGCTAGCCGTTAATTCCTATCCCTTCAGGGTGCCCTCTCCCTGGAGTTCTGGGGAGGGGCCCTCCGTCATTGGTGTTCAGCCGGAAGCAAGATTATGATTTTGAGTAGACCTCTGCCCCAAACTTACCAGAGCAGATTTTATCAAGAAAACGAAAATTGCCCCTAGGCACAGGGGCAATAACACTTAAATTATTAAACTTTAACTCTTATTGTTCCTTTTCCGGTATTGTTGAAAGTAATAAATTTGCCCACGACAAAAATTGAGGACGTGGCTCTAGGTCATCCACTGCTGTGTCGTTGTGGTCCCCCTTCCCCCCACTGAACTCTGTAGCCTGGGCCCCTCTGGCCTGCCTTCTGAGGACTCAGATGTTGACGCTGTTTTACAATCTCAGTGTCTAATGTGACCATCGTGTGAAGGATGGGACGTTCCATCTGCCCGCTGTCAAGGATGCAGTGAAGGAGAAGTCTGCCTCCTCTCTAGCCCCTCCTCCCAGCTGCCCTTGTCCTTGACCCGAAGCCTCACTGAGATCATTTTCTTGTGGCACTTTGGAGTCATATTGTGTGCACAAGTACCCGTTCTCCTGGTCAGTGCTCTCCACAGAGCTGTGTGAGGCACAGGGGTCTCTGCCCCCAAGGCTCTCCTGTGGCCTTGGAGTTGTCCCTTCACGGTCCTGCCTGCCTGGTCCTCTGTGCTGCCTTGTGCTGTTTCTTCAGTGGCACTTGGCTTCTCGGTGGTGCGTCTCCTTTCACGTAGTCGGCTCTGATTTGCACTCACGGGCAGTTTGACAGCTGGCGTCCCGGAGCCCGCAGCATTCATGCCTGTGTCTGGGTGATGCGGTGGGATGGAGGAGTCACTCCACATGCCAGATCCCTAGTTTCTCTCCCCTCCCCTCCCCTGACTTTCATAGTCCTCTCTTCTCCCGCTCTTTGGGGTCCTGATTTCCTTCTGAACTTTCTGGTTGCAGCAGGATTTCAGAGGCTACACTTTGGGACTCCCTGTTGAAGAATTGAATCGAGCCCGACAGGTTATTTCCCTTGAGGTGAAAGTAGTGGAAGAAATGGTTTCTGCGAACCTCCCTGCCCCCGCCTCTTCCCTAGTCCACAGAGGGCTTAGGGGCTCAGATCTGTTGCCCAGAAGATGAAGGTTTTTCTTGCCTTCCGGGGGTCATGTCCAGTTGTGTCGTGCCAGTCTGGGAACCTTCCCAGAGCCTCTGAGCATCATCCTGCTCCAACTTCAATTAAAGGGGTAATCCGGCCCCCCCTTGTGGGTCTGCATGTTGCCAGTGAACAGTGAAGGGCATGTGGGGTGTGTGTGTGTGTGTGTGTGTGTCTGTCTGTCTGTCTGTCTGTCTGTCTGTCTATCTGTCCTGAGGAGACACTCTAGCAGTCCCCAAGTCTCCATTTGTCTTCCCTCTTCTTTTTTTGTTCTCCTTCCTTAGCCCTGAGCTGGATGGCCTGCTGGGGCTCTTAGGGGAGATTGGCCCCTTTGTAAGATTTCACTCAGCCAGATGTTCTCAGTTGCTTTCTTGTGGTGTGCATCCCATATGTTTTAGAGTTAGAGACCTTCCCATCTCTTTTAAAGGATTGGGGTGATGTAAAATGAGGCCCGATGGGAAGTGACTACAGATGTCTTAGCAGGTAAGAACCACATGTTGAGATCCTCTGGATATGAGCAGATTTCCCCATGGGAATCTTGACCATAGGGAGGCTAAGGCCATGGAGAAACTGGCCGTGCCAGGTGTAGGTGATGTGGGCCCATGTCGTCTGCTTTTCCCGTCAGGTCCATGTTTTGTTGAGATTTGAGAGTCCTCCTTGAGCAGCCTTAGGCTGTGTGGCCTGGGCCAGGTTCCCTCGCTCAGGACAGTAGCTGTAGTTTTCTTCTCTCTCCAGTTGTTCTAGAATGATCTGGGAAGGAGACATGCGGGTGATCCAGGTTCTCAGATGGCTGCGCCTCCTCCTGATGTGGTGTGTCCCTTTGCTGTGGGCACGGGTAGCCTTGAGGCCTTGCTGCCATGTATCTGGCCTGTGCCTTGTGCGGTCATGGGAGCAGGTGATGTTGGCTCTCATTCCTTCAGCAAGTACAGGGAGATGGAATGAGCTGAGAATTCCCAGTGGTATCAACCATAGCATTCTCTCATTGGGTTCTTTGGGGCCGGGTTCTGTTGGAACGTAGGGCTGAAGGGAAGGTTAGCCACATGTTTCCTCTGGCTGACCCAGATGGTTACAGTGATCCTCAGCCCTGCCGTCTGCTGGTTCCTCAGTTGGACCTGAGGAAGCATTCACTAAGCAACTGGCGAACACGTAAGAAGTGAGGACGATGGCCTCAACGAGGGAGATCCTTCCTGCTTCCTGAGGCTGCAAATACCCAGGCTGGCTGTGGCATTTATTGTGCCCTCTGAGTGTTGTGCCAGGGCTGGGAGCTAAGCTACTTTTCCATATTTATAGCTCTACTGGACAGCAGCCCTTTATGGGTAGCTGTTGGCGGGTGGGCACCAGAACTTGGCCAGGGACACTGTTTTTAATTTTACTCAGTCTCTGTTTCAAGGAGCCTAGGTGAGTGAACTGTAGGTCCCCGGTCTTGCCTGGACCCCAGCCTTCTCTGAGCCCTTTCCTTGGTAACATACACACATGGACCGCTTCAGTTCCTGCGGGCCTGGTTTGACTCTTTCTTCCTCAGCGACAGCAGGGGCTAAGGGCTGGAAGAACGGGGATCCAGGTTCCTGGGTATGTTGTGTGAGTCTGAGGGGGAGGACCCGCGTGAGCTGAGTCCTGAAGGTCGAGGATGGCAAGTGCACACTTTGGAGAGGGATAAGACAGCCCTGTGCACTGTACACTAGGGGCTTGCAGTAGGAAATGCCAGGCAGGTCGATGAAGGAAGGTGGATAGCCAGCAGGGAGCCTTAGTGTGGCATGCTCTGGAAAGACGTTCACATAACCCATGAGCTCTGATGGCGTGAGTGAGACGAGTGTGATGGATAGTTGGCCGTGGGACTGTGCGGGAAGCTGGTGGAGAAAGATGGAGGATGCAAAGCCCAGGCTAATTCCACGGTGAGAGAAAACATATTTGTCTTCCTGAGTCTGGCTTATTTCATTTAGCACAGTGATCCTTAGTTCCATTCGCTTCCCTGCAAACGCCATAGTCGCTTCCCTCTTTCCAGCAGCATAAAATTCCACTGATGTGTTTCTTCACGCGTTCCTCTATGGGCAGAGCTGCAGTCTGGTCCCATATCCTGCCTTGTGTGTGAATGCGCAGCAGTAAACGTGGACACGCGGGAATGTCTGTGGTGTGCTGACAGAACTGAGGGATGGATGAGGGGAGGAAGAGGGAAAGTGCAGTCTCCATTTACAGGATAGTGAGGGCAGTCGGATGTGTGTGACATGGAAACAGGAAGATGGGGAGGAAGGTGACCAGCAAGGGACCGCCATGAAGAAGGAATAAGAACTAAGGATAATGACGTATATGTATTAAATGTCCTAGTGAAGCCCGTTTCTTTGCATGTTAAGAATTAATAATAAACCAGGCGACAGTGTTGCACGCCTTGAATCCCGGTTCTTGGGAGGCAGAGGCAGGCGGATCTCTGTGTTTGAGACCAGCCCGGTCTTTTGAATGAATTCTCGGACAGGCTCCAGAGCTACGCAGAGATACCCTGTCTCGAAAAACTAAAAAATGGAAAAATAGTGGCAGGTATGATGGTGCACGCCTTCAATTCCAGCACTTGGGAGGCAGAGGCAGGTGGATTGCTGTGAGTTAAAGACCAGTTTGGTCTCCATAGCAAGTTCTAGAGCTGCGCAGTGAGTTTCTGTCTGAAAAACAAAACAAACTCAAACTGAGAAAAGTCTTGCAGTTTTGTCAGGTAGCGTAAGCACCCTTCCCCCAAACCCAAATACCTCCCCCAACAAGTTCAGGGTGAGGGGGATATGGGTCCGCTAGAGGCCAAGGATGGTAGGAAGGGCTAGACGTGGCCAGGAGTGGAGAAACGCAAGTAGAAAGGGGACTAGCTGGTGCTGTAGGCAGACCTGTGGCCCAGACCAAGGCGTTTGGATCAAGTTTTGGGGGTCTACCTGTGATAGTTGAGGCAAACAGGGGAGTCTTGGGGCTGTCCAGGCCAGAGGTCTTACTGCTGAAGACTCAGCCCAGCTCAGAGTTGGAGGGCTCGGGAGGCTGATAGTTGTTGTCAGCTCTCCAGGACTCCAGCCCAGTTTCCCTGGGTATCAGCTGTCTCTTCTAGGTTGTGAAGGGAACTGGGGGCTCAGGGCTCAGTAACCTTGCCTTCAAAAGGAGGTCCTTCTAAGGCTGCTGGCCGGAGAGGCCTGAGCGTTGCGTGCGCTGCTGTCTCGGTCAGTGCTGCTCTCAGCTGGCTGTGGGGTGGTCTGGTGAGGATGCTTCTGCTGACCGGCCGCAGTAACACCTGTCTTCTTTGTTTTCTCCACAGGAAGCGAGGGATAGAGGTCGTGCAGGTGAGTACAGATGGCATCTCCACGTTTCTGTGTGGTGACCTCAGCACGCCTAATTTGTCTTCGTGAGAGTTTGGGTGGTCGTCAGCTTTTTATGGGTGCCTGGATTGTGACATCCTGTGGAGATCTGACATAGCTTCTCTCCCCAACTGGGTCCAGACTCAGACTGGTGGCTGCTGGCGTTTGGAGAGTTTACAGTGTGTGAGGAATAGGCAGGGCCGGGAGTCCTGGGGATCATGGCACTTGGATTGGTGTTAGGAAGGGTGAGGGGACAGTAATGACTGGCTGTATGTCCTGCCATCCTGTCCTCTGTGCTCAGTCTTGGGCTCCTTGGCTGGAGAAGGAGGAAGGATGGATAGGGGGAGAATGAGCAATAAGAAGGAGAAAGGAAGAATCAAAGGAGGGGGAAGGGAAAGAGGGTACGGACAAATGAAGGAGGGCCAGAGAAGAAAGAATGAATGGATGGCCCTGAGGTGACTATCCAGGCACCACCGCAGCCTCTTCAGGAAGGTCGGCAGGTTCGATCTGCCTGAAAGCTTGGGCATGGGATTACCTGCTGATATTCTGGTAAAAGACCTTGGCCCCCTGGGACTGGAGAGGTGGCTCAGAGGTTAAGAGCACCGACTGCTCTCCCAGAGGACCTGGGTTCGATTCTCAGCACCCACATGGCAGCTCACAGCTGTCTGAAGATCCAGTTGCAGGGGATCTGACACCTTCACACAATGCACATAAAATAAAAAGTTAAATTAAAAAAAAACAACCATAAAAAAAAAGACCTTAGCCCTTATGGTCGTGTCTTTCCAGGGATGGTGAAGTGGTGTTTACCTCCATGTAAGCCCCAAAATATAGACCCACAGTGAAGGGCAGGTTATGACAGGTGCACCAAAGCGGTGCCTGGTTCCCTGTATCGCCTTCACCATCCCTGCCCAAGATGAACCTGACTGTCCTGGTTCTAAGCTGTCCGCCCTTCCATTTGTATTGATAGCTATATCTGCCTGCCCTGCAGAGAGCAAGTCACCCAGGATGGGGACCAGACCAAGGCTGATGGCAGACATCTAAAGGAAGTTTCTAGAAAGCCTGCTGAAGAGCCCTTGTTTGTTCAATTTCAGGAGGCCCCTGCCCAGCAGCTGTAGGAAAGGGTTTCCCAGACAGGCCCTTCCCTGGCATGCCTGCCATCTCTATATGGCTGTGGGTGGAGCAGGAACCTGGAGCCATGATTTAACGTGTGCCAAGCAAAAGGGCTCTGAAAGCTTTCAAGATGTGTCTGTTGTCCATTTGGATGATGATTTGAGGGGAGGAGTGGTGGCTGGGGACAGAGTGAAGCTAAACAGGGTGCTTTCTACCCTGGCCTCTAAAAGTCCATGGCGAAGCCTCTCCCTGCACCTCCTCCTGGCATCCCGGAGAGTTGCGAGAACTCTGAAACACGAACACACCGAGGGAGACTCTGCAAGAAGCTGGAAGCCAAATACCTTGGCTGGGTTTCCCCTAATCAGCTGGGCTTTTGTGCACCACATCCCAGTGTGAGGTAGGCAGGGTGCCAGTCATTGGGTTAGGTGAGAGTGAGTTAGAGGATTAGGGGGACCATGCCCCAGCCCCCTCAGCATCCATCTCCTTGTCAGGTCCTGATTATATGGGAGGAGGAATCTCTTTGTAGCGATGAAGAAACTGAGGCTCATGATATTGTAGCCTTTGGAGAGGTCAGCTGTTTGGTTGTGAAGTGAGGCTGAGGTTTGTTTGGGTAGCCTGTTTGCTCTGTGACCATCTTTCCGTGTTAGTGCATGATCGGTTTACAAAGCTACTGCCCTCCTGGTGTTGCTGGTCTTTCGCTATTGTCTAGATGGATATAGGACTTGGGTTCAGTACCTAAGCATGAGGAACCTGGGGCAAGATCCTGCCTGTTTATCCAGGTCCCGGAAGTCATTTCTCTTCCTGTTATCTCTTGGCAACTGCAGCAGCGTCAGTGATGGACATTTATGGGGACTGTGGTGTACCCAGGAAGTGGCCCTTTGTTCTAAAGGAGCTTTGGTGTGTAACCTTTCCCGGGCACGGGTGTGCGCATGTAGTGTGCTGCAGTGAAAACTAGCAGATTCCCTCTTTTTCCTCAACTACTCCTGCCAGGGAAGCGTCTCTGGAGATGAGGAGCAAGGTGGCCTGGGCTCAGGTTCTGGCTGTGTGATGAGCCTGTCAGTGCACACAACGGGGCAGTCGGCAGACCTGACCCAGGATCGTGGAGGACTGAGTCAGGTCCAGGTGATGAGACTGGCACTGGGCCTGGCAGGCAGAGGCTGATGACCTGCAGAGCTGTACCCAGTGTGGGACCACAGGACACAGCCCTCCGTCATCAAGGGAGGCCGCTGGCCGTTGTAACCCCTGGAGGTAATGACTGGAGGTAGATCCATGGTGCTGGTAACAAAAGCGAAAGAGGACCCGGTGGAGTTGGCTACTGGCTGGCTCATGGGTGATGAATTTGATGATTCATCTCCGCTCCCCTTGAGTTTTAACACTTGCTCCTATAAGAACTGAAAACTGGAGATAGAGTGAAAACTCTAGCAGTTGGGAAGACTCATTTGTGGTTGCGGGAAATGACTTGTTAAAAAGTCCCATTCATCTCAAAGTTGCATGTCTAATAAAGTTTTCTTTTTATGCATATTATTTGTTTTGAGCGTATGTTGGTCATGTTGATCAATTATGTCTTAATAACCGACAATGATTTAGTTCGGAGGAAACTTGTGATGTATGTGAGAGCTTTATGACCATACAGGAAGCCTTTGGAGGGGAAACAATTATGTACATAGCTCAGCAGTGTAGTAGAAAAATAAGTGAGAAGCTTTCCGTATAAAATACCCTGACAGTTTAACCATCTCCAAGGGAAGAAGATTGGAAATTAGTCTTAGAAGAAAAAAGAGCAGTGTTTGGTTTCGAGCTGTCTGAGAAGGCCCCGATTATATAACCTGAAAATAGATGATGGTGGATTGCAGATCACCAGGGTATTTAGACCACGTTGGACCATTTAAGAGAGAAATGGTAACAGTTTTATTTTCTAATGTTAATATTTACATCGTGGTGGATATGACATCCTCTGCAAGTATTTAAACTTATGGGACATTTCAGATGTCAGCTTGAAAACGTGCCGACGGAGACAGTCTTAAACATTAATTTTGGGGTTTGGTTTGAAGGCTGTTTACATCTCAGAACCAGGTACTTCCTCAGACAGGGATGGCGACAGGCCATCGAGAGGCTCTGCAGGTCCTCCCAGGGGAACTGGTGAGCTGTCCTTGGCTGCCTGGCCTCTCCTGGTCTGATTTACTGTAAGTTCTGCCACTCTCTGTTCAACTTAGCTCAGAGCTCAGGAGGGGGAGGAGGCTGCCTGTGTGCCCGATGTGGGTCTCCCAGGAGGGGCAGGAACCTGCTGTGTGTTAGTGCGAGGCACTGGACAGGACCCAAGGGTTGAGGTACAAGGTGAGGACTGAACAGGCATTGCTCTCTATTTGGCAGCCTGGACACCTGTGTGGGCCAGTCTACAGTGGGTGACCAGGGGCCCAGAGGGGCAGAGATATTGGGACCTTCAGCCCATCTGTTCAGTCAGGAAGGCTTCCAGAGAAGGAGCCTGACTGATGAGGGTTAGTTGTAGGCCTGTCTCCATAGGGCCTGTCTGAGAGGCATTGCCCAAGCCCACAGACCCATCAGGACTTGCCTACCCCCTGCCCCAAGTCTGAAAGGTTCTAACATAGTCAGATAGATGCTAAACTGCCAAGTGCTAACTACGGAGTGCGGTGACCACCTTCTTAGAGACAGCCTCTGGGAACAGAGGGTTACTGGATTCAGGGCTGGTCTTGGGCTTCTCTGAGGGCTCATCAGAAACCCTGTGTTTCTTTGGTTCGGTCTGTGGCTAGTTCAGGAGAGGCGCTTTTCTCTGCAGGATTTCATTACCCCCAAGTGGAGAAAGACCAGAGAAGACCCTGCCCAGCCGCAGCTGGTGTGCTGGCAAAGCCCCTGCCCCAACATAAGCCTGGCTTCTACCCCATGGGGGAGAAGGCGAGGTCTGTTAGCCTGGGCTGTTATTTTCAAATGCAAATGAGTAAGCCACAAGTGTGAAAACTACAGTAGCCAATTGTAGATTCCTTCTTCCAAATTCTTGGCAGATCCAGACGTTGTGAAACCTAGTCTTGGGGCAGCCACTGTTTTCCAGGCTGGCAAGTAAGTTTTCCCCAGCTGGGAGCAGGGCCTCTATCCGAGTCCCTCCTGAGCCATCACCCACTTGAGATACAGTACTTAATTTTTTTTTTCTTTTTTTTCTGTGTCTGGGTGTTTTGCCTGTACCTATGTCTGTGCGCCACATACATACAGTGCCTGCAGAGGCCGGAAGAGGGCATTGGATATCCTGGGACTGGAGTTACAGATGGTTGTGAGCCGCCACGTAGATGCCAGGAACTGAACTGGGGTCTTCTGGAAGAGCAACCAGCCTGCCCCCAAAGCTGGCAGACATCAAGCGTCTAAGGAAAAGCAAGCTGAGTGAGAAGTTGAAATCAGCCGAACTTATAGCTCCGAAGGGGGCCATGTGCTCAGGACTGGAATAGAGCTTTGTGCTGTAGTTCAGGGGTGGGGGTGTAGCATTGGAGTTGAGGGGCAGGCTTTCTGTGCTGGGTTAGGGGCATTGAGGGAATGAAGCAAGGAAGAGGTAGGCGGCAATGGGGAGGCCCTGTAGAGGAGGGGACAACCTCTTGATGAGGAGTGACTGAGGTCTAAGTGTTACGGGACATTACTAGGTTGGCATCGTGGGACACAGAATAGCCTGCATCCAGACTTGGAAGCTGGGAAAGGTGTCTGTTGAGGATTAGTAGTCTAGGGAGGTTGGGCTTTGGGGCCTGAGAGGGTGGGCAAGAGACTGAAGAGAATGGGAGAGTCCAGATCACCGAGGAGCTGGGTGAACTTTGGTGGGGGCAGCATCTGGGCACTGAGGGGCATCGGATGGGAAAGAAGTGCACTGTGATTGAGGAAGGGGG